CCGCAGACCTCCCCCGCCACAGCCGCCACCAAGGACCCCGGGGTGCTGCCCTCCCCGATCTTTGGCAGCGGGCAATCTGCCCGCGCGTCTGGGATTTCCGCTTGCCTGTGAGGTTTTTGCCGTTGCCATGGGTGTCAGGGGTCATCTTGTATTTCCAGAACTAGAATTGGTGTTCTGTTCCCCGGCTGTCGCCCCGGTCCTGCTGGTGGACGTTCCTTGGTAAACTTGCAGCATTCTGGAGCGAGTGGGGTGGCTTCTCCTCCCTCCCCTTGGCGGCTCCCTCGTGGGCCACGTGGTTGCTCTTGTCTCCCTGTTTATCAGTCACTCGCCTGGCTTTCGTTGCGAGGGTCCCACCAGGCTGGCTTGTGCCGTCAGGTTTGAGGCTTTGGCTGTGGGGAGCCCCGCTTGGACCTGCCCCCGACGCTCTGTCTGCTTTGCCCGAGTGTCTGCTCGAGTCTTGAGGGCCTTCTCATCGCAGCTGAGTATCCTTGCTGTGTTCTGGGCGCAAGGCCCTCACCAGGCGTGTGCTCTGCAGACATTCCCGGTCTTTGTTTCATGTTTTCATTTAACGTTGTTTTGGAGGAGCACGCGTTTCACATTCTGATGAAGCCCGAATTGCGAACTTTTTCTTTAACGGCGCATACTCCTTGGGTCCTATCGCAGACATCTCTGCTGAGCCCTGTGTGCTTTTCCTGGAAGCTTGACAGATTTCGTTGTGATGCTCCGGTCTGTGGTTCGGATTGATTTTCGTATGTAGGTGCCTCGTTCCGATACTGTTTGCCAGAAGCTGGTCTTTTACCCACTGAATTACCCTGCTGACAGAGCGAGGAGGTAAATTCTAGATGAAGTGCACACTTAATCTTTCTGAACTGGATTGTACCCTATTCGGGTGTGATTTGGGCTGTGACCAGCTGCTGGGGGGGGACAGTGCCCTGGCGGTGCTGGCTGTCCATCCCACTGGTGGTGTTGGCACAGGGCACACACTGGGTGCCCGTTTGGTGGGCGAGACAGGGCTGTGACATCTACACCAACACTGTCAAACGCACCTTGTGACCATTTTGGGGAATTGTGAAGAGTGGAGGTTTGGGGAGACGTTCGAAACCGGGTGCTGGCTCTCGACCAGACCGTGCCCCCGAAGACACCCTGGTTGTGAGGTCAGCGCCCCTCACCCTCCCGACCCTCCTGCCTCCACGACAGCCGTGTCCCCCCAGACTCTAGGCCTCGCGTGGCTGGAACCCACACTTTCCTCTTCCGAATCTGCTCATACCCCACTTTGCAACTAACACTGCCTGATCTAGTTTGATCATTTAAACATTCTCCTTATTTTCATCATAATCTCTTTTCTGCTTTTAGCTAAAGATTGTGATCTAAATTTTCAAGTATTAAGATGTATCATTTGTAGAAGAGAAAAAAACACTGTATTTCCCTCTAGAATAAAACCTTTACATGTAACATGTAGCCCTTACAATTAAATGTTGGTATTTTTAATCCTGTTTGCTCCATTTATTATTTTTTTTTATTTATTTTTTTTATTTTTTTAATTTTTTTTTTCAACGTTTATTTATTTTTGGGACAGAGAGAGACAGAGCATGAACGGGGGAGGGGCAGAGAGAGAGGGAGACACAGAATCGGAAACAGGCTCCAGGCTCCGAGCCATCAGCCCAGAGCCTGACGCGGGGCTCAAACTCACGGACCGCGAGATCGTGACCTGGCTGAAGTCGGACGCTTAACCGACTGCGCCACCCAGGGGCCCCATGTTTGCTCCATTTATTAAAAAGAGGTCAGTGGGGTGCCTGGGTGGCCCAGTCAGCTGAGCATCCGACTTCGGCTCAGGTCATGATCTCGCGGTCCAGTGGGTTCGGGCCCCACATCGGGCTCTGTGCTGGCAACTCGGAGCCTGGAGCCTGCTCTGGATTCTGTGTCTCCCTCACTCTCTGCCCCTCCCCCACTCATACTCTGTCTCAAAATAAACATAATAAAAAAATTTTTTTAAAGTTGCCCCAAAACTCAAGATGATGAAAACTATCACTTTTTATCAAAAAGATTCACCTTGTTGGGGCGCCTGGGTGGCTCAGTTAAGCACTGGACTCTGGATTTTGGCTCAGGTCATGATCTCACAGTCGTGAGACCCAGCCTGAGTCAGGCTCTGCACAGATAGGCTCTCTGCCCCTCCCCCCACTCACACATGTGCACACGCGCTCTCTCTCTCTGTCTCAAATAAACAAACTTAAAAAAAAAAAACAACTCAGGGGCACCTGGGTGACTTGGTTAAGCGTCTAACTTCAGCTCAGGTCATGATCCTGCAGTTTGTGGGTTCAAGCCCCACATCGGGCTCTGTGCTGACTGCTCGGAGCCTGGATCCTGCTTCGGATTCTGCGTCTCCCTCTCTCTGTGCCCCTCCCCCGCTCAAGCTCTGTCTCAAAAATGAATAAACATTAGAAAAAATAATAAAAGAGGTTGGCATCAGGAAGTTACCCTGCGTGCCTTTCTGTCGCTCATGCAGCTGGCGTGTGGTCACTTCTCTCTGCCACACACGTGTGACGTGTCTGCCGGGAGCCATGTGTCACGTTGACGCCATGTCTTGGGGGCAGGGTCTTCCTGGAAACAGAGCTGTTGTCAGTGTTCTGTCCAGAGGCAGCATAGCTTGTGTGCCACCCACACATGTGCGTGTGAGCGACTGCGTCTGTCTGTGCATTCGGGGGGGTGTGAGTGAGCGCGTGTGCACACAAGCGTGTGACGGTCCCAGATGAGGGAAGACCCTACGTTACTAACTTACAAGTGAATCTTGGGAACTCAGCCCGCTTTTCAGACTGAGGTTGGACGCTTGGTGCGCTCGCCAGCTTTTTCTAAACAACGTAGCCTGAGTCCAAGGTTCAGGCGGCCTCCGTCTCACGTTCCAGCCTCCTGGACGTGGCGTTTATTCCAGAACCTCCCTGCACAGACGAGCCGTAGCCCGGGGTGGGGGCGTCCTTGCCAGGCCCGGGATGCGCAGGGTGGGCCCTGTGAGGGGCGCAGAGGGCTGCTTGAACATCTGTCCTTGAGGTTCCTGGTGGAACTCACCGGGGCTCAGAAGGGTCATCGGCCTGCACGCACCGCCTTGGCTTTCCGGGTCTGCGACCGGGACAGCGTGTGTCAGTGCCTCATGCCTTTCTGCGGCTGGGCAGTAGTCCCCCGTGAGGATGGGCCGTCTCGTCCGTCCGTCAGCCGCTGCTGGATGCGGGCCGTTTCCTCTTTCTGACTGTTGTGACCCATGTCACTGTGAGTGTGCACGTGGGTCCCCACTGCTCCGGGCACCGGCTCCTCCAAGGGGCGTCAGGCTCTCCCCCAGCGGCCGCGCCATGGGACGATCGCAGGGGAGAAGGCTCCGGTTCCCGCACGTCCTTCTCAGCCCTCGTCACCGTCTGACACTTGGGGTGCAGTGGCCTCGCGGTGTGGCTCGGGTGCGTTTCCCTGAGGACTGAGGGTGTCGGATGCTGCTCACCGGTCATTTCTGGATCTTCTTTGGAGGAGTACCTACTCAGGTCCTTTGCCCACTTTAGAATCGGGTTGTCTCCTTATTGAGTTGGAAGCGTCGGTAACTCTTCTGAACAGGATCTCGAGTCGGATCTGTGATCTGCAAACATTCTCACGGCTTGTCGTCTTTCTTCCTTTCCTTTTTTCAAAAAAAATTTAAAGTTTATTGTGGGGGTGGGGGACGTGGGGGACGGAGAGTGTCAAGCAGACTCCGAGCGGCCAGCACGGAGCCCGACACGGGACCTCGAGATGATGATCTGAGCTGGAATCGAGTCAGACACTCAGCCGACTCAGCCCCCAGGTGCACCCCCTTTTAAGCCTCTAAGCGGACCCCACACCCGCCCTGGGGCTTGAACTCAGGACCCCGAGATCGAGTGTGGCTTGCTGCTCCGACGGAGCCAGCCGGGAGCCCCATCTCGCTTCTCCATAGCCTCCTCTGAGACGTCGGAGGTGTTAGTTTTGCCAGAGCCCGATGTGTCCGTCTGTTGCTGGCACTCGTGGTGTCGTATCCCGGAGCCCATCGCCAAAGCTGAGACCCTGGAGGTTTTCCGAGAGCCTGTGCTCGTGGCTCTTCGGTCCTGGACCCCTGCTCCGTGTCGCCTCTTCTCTGAGAGGTGAAAACACTGCAGGAACGTGACAGCCCCTGTCCCGTATCCCCCACCGTGCTGAGTGGAGCTCCCGCCCGAGGCCGCGGCCTCGCCGCCGTCCCGGGGCAGGCGAGGGGCCTCCGCCAGCAGGACGGGGGTGGGCTTGGCAAAAGCAGCTGGGTGCTCAGACAGCCCACCACCCTGGCTTCTCCTAAACGTGCCTGTTTCCAATTGGAGAGTCTTAAATGACCTGCGTGTCCTCTGTGTGTTTGCTCCCCCAGGCGCGGACCTGACTGTCGCCGAAGCCAGCAGCTCTGACAGCCGCGGGGAGAGGGCTGAGCTGTACAGCCACGTGGACGAGGGTCTCCTGGGAGGAGAGGCCAGCTACCTGGGCCCGCCCCTCACCCCCGAGAAGGACGAGGCACTGCAGCAGGCCGCCGCGGTGGCCAACCTGCGGGCGGCACTCATGAGTAAGAACAGCCTGCTGTCCCTCAAGGCGGACGTGCTCGGGGACGACAGCTCCCTGCTGCTGGAGTACCTGCCCAAGGGCACCCACTCTCTGTCCCGTAAGTGCGTGGCCGAGTGCAGAGGTGGTGCGGGAGGGATGCGCACCGCACAGTCGGGGGGGGGGGGGTCACTGCTCTGGCCTGGCGTCACGTGGTGGAGAAGGTGGTTGATGGGCGGTTGTCAGGGCAACAGCAAGTACTTGTTCGAAGGCTTCAGGCCAAAATCACTGAGCTGCTGGCATCTGAGCCAAAACCCACATCAGGCTTACAGGTGTGCCCTGGGCGCCCCGAGCGCGCCGTCTGCGAGGTGGGACCCGCAGGGGGCCTTCGTGCGAAGGGACAGACTCGGGCTCCCTCTGCTGGCCCTGGTCCCACCTCAGAGTGCCTGTCGTCCGCAGGGGAGAGATGTGCGCATATCCGTGCTTTGTCTCCGCTAGATGATGCTGGTCACACGTGGTCACACGTGAGTGTTTAAAGGCCTAGGGTGCCCACTCCGTAAATGTCTCCGGCCGAACTCCAGTTGTCCCGAAGCAAATGACAGACCAGCCTGAGAAGCAGCTAAAGGGGCAGCAGAGCCGTGGGCCCCCGGGACGTCCTTCTCCCAACCAGACTCGAGGGCGTTTGGCTTTTACGTGTAACCGGCCATGAGCCACACACGCTCTGGGTGCCAGCCCGAGAGCGAGCCACACACGCTCTGAAGATCCGTTCTGGGGGCGCTCGGGGACCGTGGCGGCCACCCAGTGCCCTGGAGGAGGCAGCCACACTGTCTCTGGCCGTCCTGGGATTAGCGCAGTGTGTGGTTAGTGCCCCCCGTGGGTGCCGGAGGGGACAAGGCCCGGGGGGCTCCCCCCACAGCGGAAGGCGCTGAGTGTAGCAGGGGTGCAGGGGCCTGCGGTGCGAGCGTGCGGGGCACGAGAGACGGCCCGTGTGGACGCCGTGGTCTCCCGAGCGCCCCTGCAGGAAGTAGGTCCATCATCTGTGTTCGGGGTTTGGGAAGGGCAACCTGTTTTCATGTTCAATGTAAAAAAACAGTATTTTTACAACTCTGTTTTCGTGAGCGCTGAAATTTCCTAAGATTTTGTGTTGGAGTGATGAAAATCACTATGGCTAATAAAGACTAAAAGTGGGAACGATGTTTCTGTTCACTTTATTTCCCTGGACTTAAGGAGCCGTTGCCATATTCTGAGCAGCCTGGGTGCCGTGGTCGGTTCACGGGACTTGGCTGTGAAGTCAGACCCAAAGCCGAGTACCTCGCTGACGGGCCGCCTGGCTTTGGGCACGCTCTGACAGGCGTGTTGAAGCTCATTTCCCCAGCTGAGAACCGCATCACACGGTCGTTGTGACTTTAAAACACAGTAGTGTCTGTGGACCCTCAGATGTGTGAGCAGAGAGTGGCTGACGTGCTCCCACACGTCGGTCCTGCCCCGTCTCGCGTCAGACCTTGTGCTGCGGGCAGAGGCTCCGGGCCGGACCATCCCAGGACACTTGACGGGTGCTGGGGGCGCCTGGCTGGGGGTCGGCGGGACAGGTTTTGTGGATCTCATGGAAGGAGAGCAGGGGGATGCTCCGGGGAACGGGTGGCTGTGTGGGGAGGTGGGGGCACGCTCGTTCTGTACCCCTCACACGCTCCTCACGCGTGCGTGCGCACCGTGCGTCACAGACCGTGGGCAGCCCGACCGGTGCCGCCGAGGGTGACTTTGGAACAAGGGACGGTCGTCGGTGCTTTTCACGGTCACCCTATCTGCCAGGCTTTGCCTCCAGCGTGGCCTTGTCCAAAAGGCCTTTGGTGCAACTGTGCTGGGAGCCACCCTGGGCCAGGCAGTGGGCCTCGTGCCGGGGGGGCTGGCCCCCCACTCCTGGGGGTCCCGTGTGGGCCCGGACCCTCCCGCGGCAGCCCTCCCATCTCGCGGGTAGACGTTTCTCCTCAGACCTGCCTCGTCCCGGGTGGTCACCACACACTGTGTTAACGCGTCGCGATGCTGGGCGCGTGTGTGACTGTCAGAGACGTCACACGTTGGAGGGAGCGGAGAGCCCGGCAGTGGGACCCTCTACCGTTTATTTTTAGTACGTCTGTGACAAGTTCCAGGCAAAGTCTCTCAGTGGGTTTTGCTGTTCTGTTATTTCTGTTATGTTTTAATCTTGCTTTTCCTATTCTAAATTCCCCATTTTTCTTGTATGAACCTACCAGAGGCAGAGGGGCCAGAGAACAGGGTGCAAAAGTGGGTTATTTTAAAACGCTGTTTTCTGACATCCCAAGTAAAGTCTGCGACCGGGTATTTGTGGCATCGAGGAATGAAAATACCCAGGTAAAAACCTTGTTTCCCAAAACGTCGTGGTTGGCCGCCGGCCCCTGCCCCGCCCCCCACCGCCCTGTCCCTGGCAGGTGGCTTCGAGGAATCGGACGGACGGAGGCCGAGCTGCCGTCCGGGGTTAGGAGGGCTTTGTGGCAACCTGTCCAGCACCCGCTTTCCAGGTGTTTGTCCCCGCGAGCGTGTCAGTGTTGGTGTGTGGCCTGGGCCACTGCTACACGTTTCCCGCCCCGAGAAGGGGCCAAAGCGACTCCTCTGTGCTGTCTGCTCGGCGGTGCCCGGTTGACTGGCACGGTCTCTCCGGGCGCCCGTGGCCAGGGGTCAGGCTCAGAACCCCATGCCGGTCACCCTCCACGACCACTGCTGGTTCCTAGACGCATCCTCACGGGCGGGAGCGAGTGTTCTGTTCGGCGGAACGCGGCCTAGCAGGGCCTGGCTCCGGCGACTTGGTCCCGCGCCTCCCTCCTCACCCCCCAGCGCCGGCTCAGCCTGGAGACGTGTTCCCGGAGCCCCAGGCACCAGCCGGCAGCTGACGTCTCCAGCCCGGTGGGCAAGCGGTGCGTGTGCCCGAGCCTTCGACGGCACCTCCGAGGAGGCGTGCTGATAGCAAAGCTCTGGGGTGAAACGCCCGGGCTCCACCAGCCCAGGGCCACCCCTCAGCTCAGGCGGGCGCAGGGGCCTCTGTTTCCTCCTCGGGTGGCTCAGAAGGGCAGGGGCCGGGGCTGCGGCGTGAGGCGTCCCCAGAGCCTGGTCTGGCGTGAGAGGCGGGCAGTGCCAGAAGGCCAGGCCGCGGTAGCTCCAGCCTCCCTGGGCGGGTTGTTGATGATTCACGTGTTGTTACATGATTTCTGGGGCGCCCCAAATGGGTCCACGTCCCAGCGGACGTGGGCTCGTAGCCGGAGAAGCGAGAGGACGGTGTGGTGCGAGCCTCGAGCGGCTGTGCGGGGTGGGGTCCTGCCCCTGCTCGCTGGGCCTTCCGGAGGCGGGACGTGCTAGGGCACAAGGCCTGGCCGTGGCGGTTCGGCGAAAGAAAGGGAAACAGTTGCAGGTGTGTAAATCAAGGGGCCTGCCACACGTGCAGGCAGGGCACCAGTGGTAACCAGCAGCCAGCATTCACGGTTCCCCCTGGGCGGTCCGGAACCTTCTAGGGGAGGTTGAACGGGTCTAATTGCATTGGCTTGGCTGTTAGGGTTTTCGGACAGTTTCATTTCTAGATCAACGGTCTAACTGATTAAAGGACCTGCTCGTGTTGATTTGGCGTAACTTGGTTCTTCTGCTCTTCCCGAGTTCCAGGGGTAGGCCAGCACCGCACCTGCTCACGGTCCTGCTTCACTGAGTAGAGACTGAGAAGCATGGGCTGTGGCCCCAGACTCGGCCCCGCGGGGTTTGGGAGCGTGCGCTGGTCTGACGGGGACCTTGACGCGGGCGTCGCCTTCCTGGGCCTTGAAAACTGCCACGGAACCGAGCTGCTGGAGCGGCCCGCCGCGGTCCAGGAGGGTGGGCGCCTCGTAAAGCCGCCACATCCCCCCCAGGAGCTGAGAAGGCCCTGCCGTCGTTGGTGTTCAGTCGGTAGATACCACGTGTGAGGGACGAGCTGAGGGTTTCCCCTGGTGCTTACGGGCGGGCGCTGTCATGTCTGGGCGCAACGCGTGCCACGTTCCCTCCAGCTCTTCACGGGGAGGGAAGCCTCAAAAGAACGTGGCGTGGCCGCGGGCGGGGGCTTCTGCGTGGGCCCCGGAGCCGCCGGGCTGTGCCCGTCCCTGCGTGACCCAGGCCGGCCCCGACGTCCAGGAGCACTTTGTGGGGAACAGCGGAACCGTTTTCTGTTCTGACTGTGGTTAAAGATTATTTCCTATCTTGCGTAAAAAAATGAATCAGGGACCTTTTCTTGATTCTGGATTGACCCTGGAATTTTAAGCGACTTCTTGCAAAGAGGCACTGGATGATGTCACCGCACTTCTAGAGAAACACCCTGCTCGACACACCTTGAAGTACTTCGCGGAAGATCGTTTCTCAAGGCCACAGGTGCACGTGTGCTTGTGTTTGCACCACGTGTCCTCACTTTCTGTGCTAGAACCCTCTGTCGTAATCATTTTGCTTCTGGGAGAGAGACCCAGAACGCAGACAAGTCGCACACGGAGACCCCGGCTGTTTGGGGGTGGTGAGCTGATAAAAATACCCAAACACCGGCCCCCGGCGAGAACCAGGCTTCGTGCATAGCAGTGCTCTGCTCGCGGCATCAGGATCAAGGACAGCGCTCCCGGAACTCTCCAAAACAAGCCACCAGCAGGTGTCCATTCACGTGGGTGAGACTCGTTTCCTGTGTTCCCAGGGCCTGGCACCAGCCCCAGTCACTCTTGGGGGGATGCTCATCGCAGAGCAGAGGCCCCTCCCTCTGGCCCCTCCACCCTCCACTCAGAGCCCGGGATGCCTGCTCTGGTGAATGGCCAGACCCAGCCCAGGACAGCACCACCCCCCCAAGCCCAGGTAAGACATGAGAGCGGCCGCCGCGTCCCGAGCGTCCCGGATCAGCCACCGTCCAGCAGGCTCGGGTGTGTCCCCGGCATGTCTGTGGTCGTACCAGGCTCACGATGAGCGTCCGTAACAGAAGCTGCTGTACCAGATAGACGTCTCTGGTGCTCAGCTCGGCCCGGTGAGAGGAACCTCACTTTAGGTTGACAAAGTTACGGGCTTTGGCGGTAGTTACCGTTACGCTCTCACAGCCTGACGTAAGGTTAAGTCGGTCACGTA